CGATCTTTTGCATTTGCAAAATATTAGTTATCTATAAAGTATATATTACGTATATTAAATATAAAATAGAAACCTATAAAAAAAAAGTGTCGCAACCTTTTAGTGAGCGAGTGTACATACATACACATACATATAATTATATATATATATATATATGCATGTAAATATATATATATACACTGGTCCAAAAAATTAAAGGATCACCTGTTCTACCCTCTAAAAATAGGCAAACTTCAAGATAGAGCAACTTCGTCAAAAATGATCATATCGAGATGTTCAAAAAAGCATTTTACAGCTTGAAATCTCTACTTTACAAATCGGTACTTGAGAAAACGATCCTACTGATCTTTTATGGAATTACACGGATAGAAAGGGAGACCCGACGAATCTCAAAATTTTTTACGAACTTTAACAACTTCCATGGCGCGAATAAAAAATCGCATGCAAATGCAGTTTACTGCTTTCGAAAAAGTGAATCTTTACCTTCAATTTGCTTTTTTGTTGAGCGTTGTACGATTTTTTTCACCGAGTTATTCAACATTGAAGCAAAAAGGAACCTTTTTTTCCTTTAATGTTGAATAACTCGGTGAAAAAAATCGTACAACGCTCAACAAAAAAGCAAATTAAAGAGAAAGATTCATTCTTTCGAAAGCTGTAAACCCTGTTTATGTGCGATTTTTATTCCACGCCATGGAACTTGTCAAAGTTTATAGAAAATTTTGAGATTTGTCGGGTCTCCTTTTCTATCCGTGTAATTCCATGAAAGATCAGTAGGATCGTTTTCTTAAGTATCGATTTGGAAACTAGAGATTTCAAGCTGTAAAATGCTTTTTTGATCATCCCGATACGATCATTTTTGACGAAGTTGCTCTATCTTGAAGTTTGCCTATTTTTAGAGGCTAGAACAGGTGATCCTTTAATTTTTTGGACCAGTGTATATATATATATGTATATATATATGGTATTATAGCATAATAGATATTCATAGATGTTTGTATAGCATTTAGATAATAAAACTTGTAATTATATTAATGTATCATTTAAATAAATCGCCAATTTATGTCAAAGGTCGATAACATCAACACTCTGCAATTGCCTTCGGGTCCAGGGAGCCCATTCGCTAGCACGACACAGTTTCTCGTCGATGCTCGTAGTACGAAATATGTGCACCGTGAATCGCGTTACGCCTGAATGTTTCCATCGTGTACTGTTACGCCATCTAGGTTTGGCGGAAGCAACATTAGATCGCTTGGTTCGACCTAATTCAGGTCACGTGTTACATCGTTTGAGTATATAGACATGGAGGTGGAATGTTGGCTCGAAAACTGTGTCCAAGATGTGTGCGAGAGAGAAAGGTAGACGAGTAATATTCATCCTCTCTGCGCATGCGTCGATCATTCGACAGACAGAGAGGACGAAGTATCACGTGGTATCGCTCGTATATACCTTTCTCTCTCGCACTCCTTACCACTCTTGGACTCACTTGCGGCCTACAAAGACAAAGGCATTCCACTTCCATGTA